TTTGATTTATTTTTGCACTATTAACTCTTGTGTATTATGTAGTGTGCACAGCATGTATTTTAGCAATGTGCCAAAATCAAAATTATGATTATAAAAGACTTTTTCTATAATTTAAATATGGGAAAGAGCTCTTTGTTTTACTGGCAATGGTGATCCTAGCAAAAAGAGAAGCAGGCTCCTTTTAATTTAACAGGACAAAGGTAAATTTCAGCTACCATTCATTCTTCCATTGCTTTTTTCAGGTGATGATATGTGCCCCCTTAACTTCATGCTTGAGTGGAGTATGGTGTCTTGCTGACAGCCAGGGTGCACAGGTGACTGCCACCTTACACACACCCTGTCACAGTCACCCTGCTTCTACCCCTGATAAGGCCTGCTTTCATCTGCAAGGCTCCGTGTAACTCACCCACATGCAAATGCTTTTAACCTTAATTAAAGCAGTTCACTTCTCTCTGCCTCTAGGGATGGTTTCCTCATAAGGCAGTTGTGTTTAATTAGCATTTGCATAGCATTCTGCTGGTTGCTTTCCTGGAGTGTTGTTCAGTAGGAGCGTGGGATTGCTGAAGCCTGACTGGCAAGCTTTACACCCTCCTAATTGACACAGAAGCCAAGTAGAAGTTACACAAGGAAAGAACAGAGAATCGTTAATGATGGATCATTAGCAAGTACCTCCTTTGAATGAATGCAGATAACTTTATAACTCTATCAAATTGAAAAGTAGCGTGATGAATTATGCATCAAACAATAAAAGCTCGACGTTTTATAATTGCTGTGCAATTTTCTAGSATGCTCTAGTTTGTAATATTAATGTTCTTTGGGAAGCATGAAGCATTCTATGTGTGTTGCAAACTTAACATAAATTTTGGTTTACTCTTTTTAGAGATTTTATTCTGTGTCTTTTGATATCACAGCAAAAACTCCCAGGGTTTGAGATCTGCAATTTTTATGCTAGCAAAAATATGCACAAGCAAATGAAAAGTCTATGGCTACTAAACTGCTTCCTTTGAGGGTTTGCTGATTTCTTGGTGTAAAGAGCTCTTAGATACACACATCTGAAATAAGATTGCTTTGTATCTTTTTTTTGTTTTTTTAAATAAAAATTGTGTAATAGTTTTGTGGCTTTGTTGAATTTCTAGACTAGTAAGTCTCTAAAGCCCATTTTTGCTTTGAGTATCGTCACAAGCATTTCAGCTGGCACAGAGATCATTCCTGTGGCTTGCACTAGTGCCAGTTCTGCCCTCCTAGGTCTCCTACACAGTCCTAAGAAGAGGAATTAATACAAATATTGCCTGGTGATGTCACTTTTCCCTTGGAAATGTACTGATCTCTCACTTGAGGTTTCTTCTGAAAATTAAACTCGGTACATTCGAAGTGAGTAGAATCAGAGGAATAAGTTAATAGAAAACTTACCCCTGATGTGAGCTGTTGGCTTTTATATTGTAGTGGGTGAAAGGGACATGGATTAATGGGTGAAAGAGCCTGTGAGAGATCTAATCCATCAGCAAGCCCCAGGGCTCAGCTGTGGGAGCAACTGTGCTAGAATAAATCTCCTTCCTAAAGACCTGGTTGGTGCAGCCTCCTCCCATGGCTTGTTTCAGCATTTTGCTACACCTATCATTATAAAACTTATTTTTTTTTATTTCCTATTGTTTCCTTTGTTGCAATTTAAGTCCAGTATTTCTCATCACGGTCATGGAAAAGGATTTATTTCTTCCTTTCAGGATGTTTGCATGGTTTTGAGGGGTTTAGGGTGTTATTTTAGTGGTAGTGGTGGTTATTTTTTACATCTTATGAAAGCAGTTTTGAAGTGATTTTTTTCTCTGGTGCATGATCTCAGTTCAGTCTGTCATGTTTCCTGTGATAATTTCATTTGCTATCCTGTGGAAGTTCTGAGGTGCTCTGGATGGCTGTGCAGTGAGTGCCCTACACCAGATACTGCTCCAGCTGTGACTTGCCAGATCTAACTGAAGCAAAAAGATTATTTCATGTGTCCTGCAGGCATCTCTCTTGTTTGTACATCCCTGTATGATGCTTGCCTTTTTCGCAACAGCATGATTGTTGACTCATCTTCACTTTGTGATCTAGAATAACCCCTGACTATTCCTCCTTTTCTGTTTGTCCCCTGCCCTGTTTTTATGTAATGAAATAAAGATCCTTCTCCTTGACAGTATTGAATTTCACCTTATTTTATCAGACCATTTCTCCAGTGCAGCCTGGTCATTGTGAATCGTGCTTAACAGGTATTTTTAGCTTTTGAAGTCCTCAGCAGGCTGAGCAGGTAACATCTGAGCTCCATAAGCCATCCAGGTAGAAATAAACTGATAAATGCTACATGCTGAACAGATTCCTCTGGAGCTCACTTGAAATGTTCTGTTTTAGAAGATCCCAAGAAGCAATTCTCTGAATATTATTTCCCTCTCAATGTTGCACCTGACTTCGGGTTTACCTAGACCTTGTTTCTTTAGTCAGTTTATGGAAAATAGCAGAGAATTTTCTCTCTGAAAGTCAAATATTGATTTGGCATCCTCGTGGTTGAAGAGTGTCCTGTGTTTTTCCTGTGGTGGAGTTAATTTTCTTTACAGTAGTATGGAGCTGTGTTTCGAATTTGTGCTGAACACGGGATTGATAATACAGTTTTTTTTATTGTTATGCAGGGCTTACACAAAGCTTTCCCTGCTTCTTATATTGTTACACTGGTGAGGAGACTGGGGCCCCATGGGAAATTGAAAGGAGACACAGCTGGGACAGGTGACCCCAACTGACCAAAGGGACATTCTAGATTGTATGACATCATGCTCAGTATGTAAAAAATGGGCTAAAGAAGGTAGAAAGGGGGGGAACTTTTGAAGTGTTGGCGTTTGTCTTCCCAAGTCAGTGTAACGTGTGATGAGGCCCTGCTCCACTGGAGGTGGCTGAACTCCTGCCTGCCTATGGGAAGCATTGAATTCCTGTTGTTTGTGTGCAAGGCTTTTGCTTTCCATATTAAACTGTCTTTATCTCACCCTTTTACCCCTTCCAATTGTCCCTCTGATCCCACTGATGGGGGAGTGAGCAAGTGGCTGCATGGGGCTTTGCTGGTGGTTGGAATTAAACCATGACACAGGGTCATCTTGCCTGATGTGGTGTCTGTGTGGTAAAGCTTCACCTCCAAGGAACTTGGCTATCCTTTCCTTCATGGAGAGCACAGGTGATCACTGTTCAACTGGCCAGGTGTACTCATTTACCAGTGTCCTAGAGGACACAGTGTGTATCCTTTCATCTCTGGTGTCTCCAGAGTGTCTAAGGAACTAAACTAGATTATTGACATCTAATTGTAGATGGGATTTATCTCACCTCCAGCACTTTTCCTGGTAGAAAGACAAGAGATCACATACACAATTTGTTCGTCATAGGTACATGCTGGCTGCTACTCATCTCCTGAATATTTTAATTTTGATCATTTTTTCCAGTATTGACTGGACCTTGAAGTTAGGTTGTTTGGTCTGCAATTCCCCAAGTCTATCTCCTTTCATTTTTAAACTCAGAAACCATACAGAGAATCCTGGAATCATCTGGGTTGGAAAAGATCTTTAAGATCATCAAGTCCAACCATTCCTTCTTCCAGGAGCATATTTGTCAAAAATGTACCAAATCAGCTTGAAAAAAATGTTTTTATAGGCACCTTTTATGTTATTTTTTCCTTGGAGGTGGATACTTTACCCTATTAAACATTTGATTACAATTCATGCAGAATGGCAAAAAGAGAAAAAATGGCATCCTGACTAACCTTTGTCGGCATCTCTCAAATAAGTAGTAGCTTCAAGTAGTAAATTTACCAATTCATGCTGTGATTCCCTTGCTGGTCAATATTCCAATTCTTCAGAAATTAAACAAACACTGTTCTGCCTATTGAAATGTTCTTTGTATTTCTTTGCATTTCTAAGTAAAGCTGCAGACAAAGCAGACAAAGACTACTTTCCTGCGAATTATTTTTGATGAAGCCATTTAGTAGAAGCCATTATCATGAATAGAGGAATCCTTTTGCCAATTGTATCAAAGGTTTTTTAGTTTTGTATTAAAGTTTTCAATTGACAGTTAAGGAAACTGTTGTCCTCTCTCCATGAAGCAAGTAATCTTTCTATGTGTGTGCTGAGTGCATACCTCACTTCTGATCCCAGACTAAATTTGTGGCTCATTCTCCTTTCTGAGTATGGTAGTAAGGGTGTAGCTACTTGTCTGCAGGCAACTACCCTGAAATCTGTTCAGTCCACTACAGAGCATCACTAAAACAAGAGATCTGACTACCTGCAATAGACGAAGACACAGAAGTCTTCATATCATTGCCAGCTTCCAGATTTCCACCTTTGAACTTATTCCTGCCAGAGCAAATAAATTATTATTATTTTCTTACAGCTACTTTTGATTAAAAATATAGACCAAGCTGGAGAATACCACGTCTGTGCATGCAGTCTGTTCTCTGTCACTGCAGGGTCATGGAGCACACTGCAGAGGTGCTTGAGCTGCTGCCAGCTGGAGATGCTGCTTTCCACTGTCCGTGCATGGTTCTGACATCAGTAACTGCATTACTGTGACATTTCATCATGTCCTTATGCCTGTGCTGCCTCCTGTTGTAGATGTGGGGAATTCTGCACCACATCCTGTTGAGTGGCCTGGGCAATGCAGTTTAGGTAGCACAGAGTGGCAGACCTGTGACGTAATATGAGTCAAAGCACCCTGATATACATACTACTGGAAAAAATGGGAAGACTTTCTTAACATTAGGTGAATATCCAGCAATTCTGCATTTGAGTGAAATATTTAAAACTATCTTATTGGTAAGAGTGTTGCCAACTGGCATTTTTTCATCTGTATTTTCAGAATATAACATTTCTATGATAAGAATTGTGATTAGAAATGTTGTAAAAATGAGGTACTTTCCTTTAAACTAATAGATACTTCAATATAAATATGGCAGTAACTCTGGATAATAATTTCCCTCCTATTTGCATTTTTTTTTACAGGACCAGGTGTCAGATACAGTGAATTTACTGTGTCACATCCAAAACCACCTCCCCTTGTTGGACAACACACAGTGGAGATATTGAAGAGCATGCTGGGCTATGAGGATGATGCTATAGAAGAACTGCTTCACACTGGTGTTGTGGCTCAGCATGAGGTCAGATAAGGAACATTAGCTACATTCCTTCACACTGAGTTCACATTACTTTGTCCTCTCTTTGCTCCCTTCATTTTCCCTAATGGGACTCAAAAAGAAGACATAATTTAATTCCTAATTTTCTTCCACATGTGTTTGTATGATTTTTAACACTGATGTATCAAATAAACAATCTCATACTGTCTGAGTGAAAGATTTTCTTGGGGGGGTTGGGAATAAATGTAATTATACAATCCTGTGTGACTACTCATTTTCTGTACTTCATATGGAAAATGGAGTCCTTATCATAATTACAGTAATTGCCTAAACATTTGTCCCAAGAAAGACATGATGTTATTGAAAAGAAGCAGAACCTTTAAAATCTGTGTACTGGGCTCTCCACTCCCAGAAAGCTGATTTGTATATTAATAGAAAGTAATTTATTTAGAAATTAGTGATTGATCTGATTGATTTTGAATAGAATTATCCATCCTGAGCACTTTGTTCATCTCTATCTTAGATCAAGAGTAGAGTAACCATTGCAAAATTTACTTCATTCCCTGGTATTCCAAATTACCAATATGTCTTTATATTACATTGTATAGTCATGACAATCCCAAAATGTTAGCAGAAAGAGGCTGAAATTGGCACAGTTCTTCAGTTATGAAAGAAACCTATTCCAGGACCAGTTGAGACACAAACTGTGGCTGAACAGTCTTCTGTAATTTTATTCAGAAAGGCCCAGGGTACTCTTTGTTAAACACTAAACCACAGAAAACCACGTGCTGAATGTCTAATACCATAACTTGCTAGATGTCTCAATTTGGTTCTGTGGGTAGGTGCTGATCCCTATCTCTGACTCTAGTTGCCATCCAAACCACCTTCATTATGGAGACAACACAGGTGAGAAGCTGTACCAAACTTTTGACTCACACTCCACCCCCCCCCCCCCCCCCCCCCCCCCCCGCTCCCCCCCGTGATTAAAACATGGTGAGAGTTGGCAGATCTTCCTCAAATTTAGTAATACCATATCCTTCAGTAGGGTCACTCCTGAATCAGGCACCATGCAGTGGAAGAAGGAGGAAGAATTTGATCCATGAGAGATAATAAGGAGAAGATTAAAGAAGAGACATTTCTTCTCTATAAACCAGTCTGGCAGTTCTTCACTCACAGAAGACTCGCTGCGCTCCTCTGTGGCAGTATATAATTTACAGCTGAAGCAAACTCAGTGTATGGCAAGGATTTAACATTTGTTGTGTGCACACTGGGAGCGAGGCAAAGCCTTTCTATTCCTAGAACTGAACAAAACTCAAATCGACACTCAACACATAATATCCATGTTTCTCTCAAAGTATCGGAAACAGGCCAGGCATTATAACTAGCTTGTCACTTTGTTTCTACTCTAACAAACAACATCCTCTGTATTGAATTTGAACTTCACAACTCCGCATTACCTTCTGGGGGAAGAAAAGAGGTTATTACATAATCAAATTGCAGTGGAACCCCACTGTGACTGTTCATTTTTGAAGCCCAGTGTTTTGAATCTTTTGTTTGCTTGTTTTCTCAGTTTTGCATTCTTCTATTTTTTTTTTCCCTTGCACTGCATTCCTGACACTAAACACCATACTCTATCCATGTGCTAAAGACATCATGAGATCCTGGAAGAGTGACTTCTAAAATAAATATAAAAATAAGTCTGAATTGAGAATTGGGACACAGTAGGGGAAAAATTTGAAACTGGATTGAAAGAGGTTTGATACTGTCCACCTTTCTTTTAATCTAAGAGGAGCATCCCTTTTTTAATGAGAAAATCAGAAATTTGAATTCAGCTATATATAAAATGGATGATCTGATGGTGAATTAAACTTTGTTTACTAATGAAAACCACTGTCAGATAACATTCAGAAATAAATTTTCTGGGTTTACTTTCTCAAGTGTTCTTTTCTTTACATTTCTAAGAATAATATACATAAAGTATAGTAAAATATTTGTTTTATTCAAGGATTTCTTAAACATCAGGGTTTTTCTCCTGTGCTTCTCCAAGCAACGGAAAGAGTTAATCACTACGTCCTTAGCTACAGTAAATTGGCAGAGCTGCTTTGACTTTAGCATAGTAATGCTAGTTTAAATAAGCTGAATATTGGGCTTTAAACTCCATAGAGTATTTTGTGCAGAGTTCACACGCAAACAGTGCTTCCTTTTCTTTTTCTTCTTTTTTTTCATTGGTGTTTTTCCATTTCAGTTTGCTATGTTGACAGTCAAATGCCTAAAGAGATAATCGGAGACACTACTTTGTCTCACCTCTAGTACTTACTGCCACAGGAGAAATCCAGATACCATTTTGCAGGATGTAAGTCAATCACTCGCACACAGATTGATGCTTACTCTTCAAGTCAGAAATAAATAGGTGGGTGTCTGGAAGCCTAAAATGTCCTGTAGCTTCCAACATTTGATCATGAAAGTTTGGGCTTTTGATTTTGGATTATTTGGAGGAGATTTAAATAGTTGCCATGATCATATTTAAGCTGATATAGTACCCTTGTCCTTTAAAATGATCAAATAAATGCAGAAGAAGAACTTTTGCAAAATGTATTGCACTCTTTCCAAGAGAAAATGGATGTCTCTAGAGCTCAATTGCATTTTGATAATCTTGTAATTTCAAAATGGTTTTATCTTGTACTGCAGAACTTGAAATTAACCATCACATGGTATTGTGGAGCTCATAAACTGAGATCACTTCACTTTCAAGGAAGAAATGTAGTTTGGAATCACTATACACAGCTGCCTCTGACAATGAATGTTTGTCTCTGCTTAAGTTGGAAAAGAATCTTCTGGTGCTGCCATGATGTGTTAGTGTATGTGGAATTTGCTTTAATTGTACTTGATTTGCACATCACTGTATAAAAAAAAAAAAAAAAAAAAAAAAAAAAAAAAAAAAAAAAAGACAAAAACCTCAAAAACAAAAGAGTGGTGCAGGACACACCTGTTATCTACTTCTAAGCTGAACCCACTTACAGCTGTTTGCCAGGAAGCTTTAGCTGTCACTGGAAAAGGATATTTCCATTTTGGCATCTGTTCTGACACTGTGTCCCTTTTGACTCCATTCTCTGCATTGGGGGATTCCATTGTTCTTGTATTATCTTCTCTCTTAAAAATGTTTCCTCAGCCCTCCTCATATAAATGTCTTCTTTTCTTTTTCATGCAAGCTAATAAATTTCTACACCAAATATAAATCACCCAGAAAACTGCAAAACTGCTCAGGCAGAGTCAGAGCACTTTGCATGGCCTGAGGTTCTCACTGAGGGATGATCTCACTTGTCTCTCTGATTGGATGAGGGATGTTTTAATTCATCAAAAGAAAAATCCAATCAAACAATCAAATGGACAGTAATGGATTTTTCTTGCTCCTGCATGGATCTTTTTCCTGGTAACTCTTCCCCAGAATCTTCCCATGCACTTGGGAAATCCTGGAATATTTGTCTGCAATGGGTGCCCTGGAACTGACATGCAAAAGTAGGTCTTTTTTGATTGGTGGTCAGGAGGAACAAGTTGCTTACTACCAGAAGCCCACCAGCCTCAGCAATGATCAAAGGCCAGTGAAGCCATATTGATGTGAAGAATGATCTGTTAGACGGGATCACTTAATTGTGGTGGGAGGCAAATGCTCTTTTTCTTCTCAGGTTTATAAAATCAAAATAAAAAATTATGTTGTCCTTTTTTTTTTCTTTTAACATTAAAAAAAAGGCAGAGAAAGGGAAAATCCCCATTCTTGACTTACATACAAAACATGCAAAACCTCTTTTTAAAGTTCATTGAAATAGGTTGATGCCCGATGATATTAATCAGAGTTTGGGTTCTGTTTCTTCAGAGATTAAAGCTTGTCCCAAACATGTCTAGTGACAATGTGTTGAGGCTAAAATAGCAGTCTGAAAGTGTTGTTCCAGGGAGTGTGCGTGTATGCTCAAAACCTGGGGAGAGCATTTTCGTTAAATTGCCATATAGCTCTGCCACTCACAGGGAACTATAAATCCTCAGCCCTGGTGAACCTGGAGATAAAAGGCTGCTAGGCATCTCTGTGATTAAAATGGTTTTGATTCCTTTTGCTATCTAGATGACAAGACACAGTTAACCCTTTGACCTTTCTAACATTATAGCACTGTATTAAAAGGCATTCATTTCCCCAAAACATATTAAAATGTATTTAATTTCCAAAAGACAGTGGAAAGGTAAAGTACTTTCAGAGTTCAGGAACGCTGGCACAGCTACTCACGTTTCATGTCAGTGATATTAAACAGTGCCAGATACAATACTTTTCTTAACTGCTTATACATTGAATTTAATGTGGTCTGGTGAAATGCTAAACACTACTAGCTGGTGAAAAAAAAACCAACCAACCTTAGAGCAGTTCCTGTAGGCTCAAGTAACCTCCTTACACAGAGGGCTCTGTGATATTGGCCAATGTGATAAAAATACACTGATAAACAGTGATACAGTCACCTTTTTAAAGCTGAAAACCAATCAATTAAATTACTGTATGTTTCTGTTGTGACTGGAATTTGGAACAGACGTGAGAAAAATGCCTGGGATCACGTATGCCAAGGGCCCAATAAACTTTTGCAAGTTCTCTTTATTTTTAGCACAGACTGTGTCAAACAATGAAGGGAGAGCAGTCAAGGGTTAAGGTGGAGACAAGCTGTTGATTTTCGGTTTCTTTTCTATTCCCTAGAGCTGCAGATAAAAGTGAATTAGTAAGTACCAGTCAGTCTTTAGTTGGCAAGAAATTATTAAAAATCATAATGTGAAGAGCACTCTGAACTACCTGCCTGGTTAAAATACCTTCAATATAGTTTATTGCACAGTGAGCAATGTCTCACTGCTTATTGACAAGGTACTCAGGGAAGCAGACTGGGAAGGAGCTCACTTCACTGCATTGCTTCTGTGCTTCAGCTGCTTCAATATTTGTCCAATAACTACCCCAAACCAGCCAAAAGGGCTTTAAAGTACAAAAAGAAATTTGAAGATTTTTAACCTGGTAGAGGAATGCATATGTAGCTCCCATCCCTTGGAGACTTGTGTTAGGAGATGGTAAAGTTTCACATTAAAAAGCTGTGTATAAAAATGCAGAACAGTGTGTACATTCCCCACTGGCACTCTCATCTCCTGGTAGATTGAGCCTTGACTAAAGCAAACATGAGAAAAGTGCCGGTTCTCTGATAACGTTTTTTTTGTCTTTTCATCAAAACCTTCTCTCTCC